AGGTGGCTGTCTGACAATGGCCCACAAGTGAAACATATGTGTACTCAGTGGATTAAAGTTGCCGGGACGGTATGTTAATGCTTTTCAGCAACATGACTGGGTTTCATTTCAAAACGTTCTACCTGATGATCCGTAAAATGACCTGCAACCTAAAAATGTCTTTCATACTGAGAAATTTACCTAAATTCGCAGTAAAAGTTTTTCAATGCCTGTAGGAAGTTAGTGGGACTCGATCAACCTAATCTGTCAGGTTTGAGACGGATCCTTCCAGAAAAATTTCACTCAGTATCAACATTGCTCATGGTCAGCATATATATGTGTAAAGGAAATGGCTATCAGCTGTGACCCAATTACAGAAGATTAAACCTCCTGACTAAGTGTGGAGTGGACATTGATTTTTTTCTATGATTTGAGTGACAGCAGCTGATTTCACTTAACAATTCCTCGTCTATACAGCTAGTATAAAACATGCCAATAATCCAAATTAGCTATTATAAATCTTTATAGGTCTAGATGCTTGAGGTCAAAGGTCAGCACCGCCATGCACACCTCTAGTGTTTGTTAAGGAGGGTTGATAGTTCTACAAACAGGCTTACTTTCCTGATGCTGTGACCGACCTTTAACCCTTTCACCCCTATGTAACTTTAGTAGACTCTACCAGGCATTGATATGGATGAGTCCATTATGGTCTACAGTGGTGAAAGAGTTAACACCCACACACATTCCCAGCCTGCAGTACTAGCACTAAGATGGACAGATATTGCCTTACAGTCACGGACACAAATAAGCGACAAAGTAATGGTGACAGTGCAGATATTAGAATTTTCCCAATTTTCCAAGTAATCTGCCTCTTTGCCACCAGCCTATATCAATTTGAACATCTTTGAACCTTAAAAGAACACTTCTATTGCAGAATCCATCTTTGCATTGTGTACAGAAAGAAATGCTTGATAATTATACAATCCAAAGGCCAAAAGGCCAAAGGCCCTGCATATATAGCTCCTTTTAAATGCAGAACCCTTTATGTCTTTGTGGCCCTTATCAGATTTCGACCATACTGCTGACTGGACTCAAGCTTACACTGCCTGTATCAGAGGTTGACCATATATATATTGTTAAGTCTGAATGACACCCCCTGCCCATATCTGACTTTGGCCATACTGATATGGCCTGGCAAGAAAAAAATGTCACAGCTGTGTTAACTCTCTGGCTAGAGAATCTCAAAGTGGTAGCCCGATTGATTTATTTCCCAGAATTATTGATCCCCGGGAGACAAAATATACATTCATGTGTAACTGTAGCCGGAGCCTGACAAATAACTGTATTGCTCAGGTCAAAACCAGACAATCAGACCGGCACTAATCTGTAGAATCTTTAGACAGGAAAGAGCAAATCAAAGTAAAGGTCAAAGGTTGCCAAGTAATTAACCAATCTGGGAGGGTCATAGGTCAAACAAATTTCACTGATCAGAAGTTTTGAATCTTATTGAATACAGTAATATCAATGAATAAGAATTATAATCTGTAGATGTCAAAGTCCAACGTCAATCACATATTGAGGTCAAAGGTCATCTCCATAGTCAATAACATATAGAGGTCAAAGGTCATCTCCATAGTCCATATACCAGGATCCATAAGTTTAGTGCTGTATTTACTGTTTGCAGATCGTGCGTTTAACGTCATTATATTATGTATCGAAGTATACATGCAGAGATTCAAGGTCATGCAAAGATCTCATCTAGATCGACATATGTAACAATATAATACTACCTTCTTTACCGGGTAATAAAGACGTCTGCTCTAAATCTATTAATGCTTAATTAAGTTAAAATTCTGATTTTATTATATATACAGAACTCAAGACTTAAAGGGAGTGGGGTAATAATAATCATATTATGTCGCTACTCGTGAGCTGCAGGAAAATAGGCAAAATACAAAGTATGTTGTCCGAGGGAAATTATGTCTAAATAAGTGCACTGTTATTGGTTTATGTACCCTTGCCCGGTGCCTTGTAAGGTACATATGATAAATCACCAATCAATAGACCTATATAAGACATTGATATAATGAGATTGCTTTATTGAGTTAACACAGGAAATGTTTTGTAATGTATGAGTTTTCTATTTCTACAGAAATTTCCTAAGGTCTGTTAAATTTAGCCAACAGACGCGCACAATCATCTTACGTCTTTCCCAACACACTTCTCCCTGGAGACTGCAGAAAGTCACCTTTCATCATTGCCTTACTGACACAGGACACATTTACTGTCTAAACTTTACACTGCAGAAATTAATGAAAACTCAAACCGTAAAAAATGTACAGTCATACAGTAGAAATGTAGTCATGCTGTAACAAGAGACCCAGAGGGCCTGTATCTCACCTGGATATCTAAGCAATCATGGCAAAATATTCTCCAATCGAGATCCAAGGGAATATGCCAGACCCCAAGGCCAATCCTTGTAGCATATATATCTGTATTCGATTTTTCATGCCCAGCAATTTTATGTATGGTTATGGGGTGGGGATCTCAACTGTTTCCAAGCTGTGACTCAGAAACTAGGTCCCTAGGGTTTTGGCTAGACCCCAGGATCAATTCTAATATCATGACTGCATTTGTCTCTTTTTGCCCAGCATTTGTAGGTATATATATAGTTTTGGGGTGGGGATCTCAACCGTTTCAAAGTTATGACCCAGGGGTTAAGTCTGCAAGGGTGGGGCAAACCCTGGGGTCAATTCTAATATCATGACTGCATTTGTCTCTTTATGCCCAACAATTGTATATATAGTTTTGGGGTGGGGATCTTAACC